ATTTTCCACATGTTACAGACATTTTAACCAAAACCATTTAAAAGGAAGCAATTAGCACTGTTCGGCCAGCAAGGATCATCCAGTAGGTCCATTTTTTGTGCTATGACCAGGCAAGAAAGTACATCAACCCTCCATCATGGGCAAGGAGGCTACTCATTGTTGAATTCCTTATACAGTAAATGATAATACCTCTGTACCACTGATAGCAATGCCTGTCGAAAATGGCATGCTGCATAACTAGAAAATGTATTCTTCCAATATATCACATAAGGGACTCCCTGTCAAAAAAATATTAAGGAAAATGTTTCAATTGTTCCTTTCCAATAAAAGAACCATCAGTAAAGAGCATACAAAACTACAAAAAATATCTTACTTTGAGTTCTCAATTCAGTAATTTTCCAATTTAGCATAATGTTTTGAAAAATAATCATATCATAAATAAGTCTTAAATAACCTAAATAAATTATATTCTAGTAAGAATTTCAAAACAAGTTCCCTTGAAAAAATTATAGGGAATAAAAGAATGACGAAGTAGAGAATTAGGTCTTAATTAAGTTAATTCAAATCACATGAATCATATAAAATGCAAGATTCATGAATTGAACTGTAATAACTAAACAGTAATTATAAGATTTATTTAAGAAAAGGATTCAGATGTAAGATTCAAATTGAAACCCTTGAGATCCATGATTTGAATCATAAAATGTATGATCCTGTCAACTATAATTCAGCATCTAAATTTGAACACAAATCAGATCTACTCAAGATCCTTGATCTGGGTCTGGGTACATCCTATTTTGGATTTACCAGGTACATCTTTGAAATTTGAATGAGTTCAAAGACAAGCACCGCTTTCTCAATTGATAAAGTTAATAATAGAGGTCCTTGTATCCTTTAAAACTAGCCTTCCCACCTAACAATTAATAGTCTGTAAAGTTTACCAAGAATTGTTTATGCCCAAATTGACTACCCCCACCCCCAAAAAAAAACAAAAAAAAAGGCTAGAATCACCTTAGAATGAAGAGCCTCTGCCAATTTTTCACCATTTGGGACTTCCAGATAAACCTGCAGCCACATTTGATGATGAATCAGATCAGTTACAATAAACATTTATACCAATTACTAAGAAGGGGTAATGCTTATCATGATAGGAACATCAAAAGAAAATGAGAAACCGGATACCCAATATGACTGACAATAAGAAGAATGGATCACATGGAATTTAGAAGCAGATCCAAACCACAAAAAGACATGAAAGTTTTTATCAAGTTCCTCATAGAATCATGTGCATATATACCTCCTGCAGCATTTGTCTTCCTGTCCTTCGTTTTTTATTTCTTTTTTTTTTGTGTGTGTGTGTGTGAGGGGGGGGGGGAGTATAGAGTCAGGGAGCTTGTAAACTTTTTAGTTCAGTGGTTATTGTACAAGGTGTTGGTTTACAACATATAGCCTTTTTTCCTCAGACACTCTTTTTCTCTACTTTCTTTTTCCTACTTCTGTTGAGTGACTCTTAACTTTTTAATATAATTTTATTTCTATCAACTAAGTTAATGTGTTGTCAAGACATTATAGCATTCTAAGTCACAATTTTATGGCCTTAGGTGAAAGAATTTAGTTTAACTCAAAAGACATATACATGGACATATGAAACAGTAATTATTCGCAATATTTTTTTTAATAAATTAATTATTCACAATATTATCATGTAAAAATATATAGGTAATAGATATTAATATCTCCCAGTTTAATTGATAAGGACCACAGCGATTATCTAATGTAAGTAGCAGGAGTCATAACCAAACATATATCTTTTATTTGAACTACACATACACTCTTGTTTTTATTCATATTTACATCATGACCTTTATAGCTACTTATTTTCATAGCATTCCTATTATTCCTTTATTTAACTTTAAACCTAGTTTTTCCCACTTCCACCATATTCTCTATGCTTCAAAAGCTACAATAAGTGCATAATAATTGTTCAAAGTATAGAGTTTTTTTTCTAGATGTACATTTTGCTGTGTATGCACCAAAGGTACATCTTGTGATAAACTAACTGTTTTATCAACACGAAACATACGATGGTCAATATGAGCAACTACAGAAAGGTACCAGTGTTGTGTTGCATGGACACAGACAAGATTTGGAATCAGAAATAGATACTCTAAATTAGTAAGATGAAAAGATGGATTTCAGGGATGGACTCAGGGATACCCATTAAAGAAAATAATATATTACTAAAACGGTCCGCAGATTTGAATTCTAAATCAGAAAAGGTTGAAAGGAAATAGGCAAGGGAAGATTGGTAAAAATATTCACCAAGTAATTAGTTGTTCTTCTACATGAAATAGGTAGGCAAAGGGAATAAGGAAAAAATGTTATAGATTTTCCCTTCACGTATCCATAGAATATCAGAATCCTAAGGTTGTCCAACATGGACAAGCCATGCATAAAGGGGAGTTCATAAAATACTGGAGGTAACTCTAGTTTAATTCTATGTTCTCCAGTAGTTTCTTGGAGTTGTAAATTGAAAAAAAAAAAAAAAAAACTTTTTGGAAATAAGAATATCAACTGCATAACAGATTAAAAAAGACACTAATACATGCAAGGAAACATGTAATTGTATATGTAGCTGTGGAGTAGCCTCATGGTTATGCTACAAAGGTTTGTTTCGAAGTATTTGGGAGTCCCCAGTTTGTTCAGAAGCAGGAAAGAAATCATAGTTAAAAGCATAAAGTCTCAAGAGGAAACCAAAACTGCACGAAACAACCTTGTAAGAGGTAAATCACTTACAGTGGTGGGTAATGTAGTACCAAATAGTCCACACAAGACTTCAGCACTGGACAAGTCAACACCTCCCCACACCAGAGAACCTATTTCTTCCTCATTTGAGAGCTTTTCTCCTTGCAAGTAAACAAAATTTGGCTCTGATGACTCCAAAACTCGCCGAAACTCATCTGTAGTTGGATTAGTTAGAGTGTGAACCTGCATTGAAACGGAGAATGGTTTGTGAAGCTTAAACAAATGTATAGATATATAAAAAACGAAAAAAAAAAAGAAAAGAAAAGAGAATAATTTGCACTCCGAGTATATTTGGCACCTCTAAACGCCCCACTGAAACAAACTCTGGAAAAGGATATCTTGGTCGATCATCTGAGATATCCTGTTTATAATCAGGATTTTTTCCACAGAACACTGCGAGGAGACTACAAGTATGTTTTGAAGCACCTTGAGCATGAAACATCATTCATACATCACAATCAACACTCCACCCAAATAATCAAATGAAGCAGAAAAGAGAGAAGGTATGAACTTCTTCCGCCACAAAATTGCTTAAATTTGCTGCAAACACGGACCTGGCAACTAGAAAACTGTCCCAAATCAAAACCCCTGACGCATTACTACACCATAATAAAAGAAGACCAGCCTCAAAAGCTTCTCCCGAAATAAAACCCAATTTCCACCAAGCAAACAAACCAAACCTCTAAATCCGCCACAATCCTTCCAAGCATAACATCTCTCAGAACCACCCCCACCGGGCAAGGTCGATAATCCTAAAACAATCTTTTCCCTGGAAGAATACGCACAAGGAGGAACGAAAACCCCGCCAGAACACTCAAATCAGACCTGAAATCTCATCCAAGTCGACAAAACAACCGAGAAGATGAGAGAACCAGGAAAAATTCACAGACCTAGATGACAGAACAGGAAAAATTACAGAGCTAGATGAGAAAACAAAGAAAAATCAAAGGCCCAGATGGGGAAATCAAGAGAAAACTATAACTCAGATGAGGAAATCAAGAGAAAACTATAACTCAGATGAGGAAATCAAGAAGAAAAACGACGACGTAACAGAGAAGAACCAGGTATTTAGCTCCCAAAATCGAAACCCAGGTCGTAAGAGAAGAGTAAAGTAAGATAGAAACCCTAGGCTTCTTAAAAATCACACAAAACCGGAAAGGACATCTCTCTAATAAAAATCCCCTCCCACCGCAAAATCAACAGAGAGAGAATAAAATTAAATTAAATTAAATTCGTATTTGTTAAAGAGGGTGTCAGTTTTCCTGCTGTCACAAATAGACCCAACTCAACCAGGTCAAACAAAACAAAACATCGAAACAAAGAAAAGAGAAAGTGTAGGAGCGGATGGATTAAAATTAACATCTTTTGACAATCCCAGAAGGAAACGAAACAAAACCGGAAGAAAAACAAAACAAAGCAAACCGAGGAAAAAAAAGAAATAGAAAAAAAAACATTAATATTAAAGAAAGTAGTCCTTTTTATCCAACCAAAAAAAAAAAAAAAAAACAGAAGAAACTTTGTGATTGTTTTGATTCATGGGTACCCACGAGATTCGGAGATTATGAACCCAACAAGTTGTCGTGCTCGAAAAGATAAACAAAAGCTAGTTTTAGTTCTTTCTCTTCTTTTTTTTAGATTTGGTTCTTAGAGGTTGGAAATTCTGGAAAATCACGAAATGGATTTTGTTTCGTTTCGTGATTTTGTTTTGTAAATTTTTTTTTGGGTTCTGACTGACGCGATTGGATTCATGAGGCTTGACTGATGTTCCCATCTGCCCAAAGCTTTGAGTCCAACTCTCTCTCTCTCTTGAGTCTTTATAGCATCTAYCGATTTTTTATTTTTGATACGTTTAGCTAAATTCCTCCTGTTGCAAATTGCAATTTAATCTCACTCTCTCTCTTCTCTCTCTAGTTTCTATGGTGTCTATGTGGTAAAAGTGGTAGTTCGATCTTCCATGGTCTGATGAGATGAGCTGAGAAAGCGATGCATATCTGGGTCCCAGTCAGACACGAGGATGTATCTATCTGTCTGTCCCTGTGTTCTCAATCTTTCTCATCTTTCCCTGAGAAGTGAGAATTGTTGCAGTGCTTTTTAGCGCTTCATCTTATGTTCACATCAGTCTGTTGTCTGGACTTCCTGTTCCAGATGATTGGCCATGCTTGCATCGAAATTCGGAGCTTGGAATTAACACACGAAAAGGGTCGGATATGGACTGCATCCAGCCAAATGGCCCAAATCCAATCCACTCCAGTCGCTTACTACGCTACTTCCTACATCACTGCATGTAAGGAAATATGCATGATTGAGATTTGAGATCGAGATCCATATTCCATGCCCTTCAAGTGTATCAACCATCCCCGCTCCGGATTATTTACTCATCTTAAAATACAAAACCTCCCCTGAAATTTTTAACAATCATAAAAACCTCTCCTTTAATTTGATTTTAATAAAATTCTCCTCCAATTTTTTAAAAAATTCAACAAAAATTCCCTTCTATCACTGATTAAACAGAAAAACATATAAAATTACAAAACTATCCCTAATTAATCGTCAAGGCATCCTACATAGAAAAGAATTCAAGAAAAGGAAATGGCGTTCTTTTGTCAATGATACACTTTTAAACCCAGAAAAAAGAAAGAAGAAGAAGAGCCAATAAATATCAACAACCGTAGTCCATTAAATAAGGAAAAAGATAGGAAATTAAAGAAAACTGATGTGATATATGCCAGTACTAAACTGATGGAATCGAACCTCATCCAATTTTTGTTTTCAAAAGAGAAATTGTAATCAATAAGCCAAAGCTTGAAGTAGATGGCGATCCCCATAAACAGAAGCAACACCAAGCCAATAAAGATGAGCCTTTCACATACACAGCCATTGGTTTATTTGTCTGYATGCTTATCTGYTGTCTCTCATTTGCTTGCTCGCTCGTAAACTCAGAAAGAATCACATGGGAGTCCATCTTAAGCTTCACCCAGCCCTAAGTGAATGGGAAACTACAGATTACAGACTAGTGGCGCAATTAAAGATACAAAGAGAGAGGAGCAGAAGCTTCCATTCAGGAAGTGAATTTGAAAATGGCATATAAAACGTAATGAACAAGCCCTAATTTGAGAATGAGAAAGAATTTTGGCCCAGTCGATACTCAATATGAGTGTTTAAATTAAACGAGCACATTTGTTACTTTCAAGAAGATGGATAAATGGCAAGGTGCATTTTTTCAACTTATCATCTAAAATGCAGCGTTGAGAACATATGATATATAGCAAACAGGTAGGCGAACTCATTCACATCTGCCATAACCATAGCTGCAGCGATTCATTGACACGGTCTGTTTGCTTTATACGATGTTTTTTCTTAATCATTTGCGCGTCTATTTTAAATTTTAGCAATTCTTGGTATTTCGAGCAATGGCACCACTGCAAGTGTTTAGTGGTGTTATTTTCTTTTGCTCTGAAAAAGAACGGAAACCAATTGTGGAAGTGTTGTTGCGCAAATGAGGGCAATTTGGGATTTTAAATGACGCCGTGCAGATTAGTCAGGGGTAATTTCATAAGTTTACTACGTTTCTGGTCTGGGTAAATGACGGAAGGGAGGTTTTTGTTTAATTTTTTAAAAATTTAGAGGAAATTTTTATTAAAATGAAACTAAATAGGAGATTTTTATGATAACCAGAAAATTCAGGGGAGTTTTTTGTCTTTTACCCTTAATTTAAAATCATGTTTAGGGAAGAGAATCCATATCTACTAAGTCGGGTTTTGGATAGAATCGCTCCATTTCATAGACTTACCAGGAAGCAATGATCCCGACCGGATCGGTCTCCTTAATTAGAACGTGGGCGATATATGAATATGACGAGACCCACTTAAATGAATGGTCTCGATTCTTCTTCGTTTGGGGTGGGTAATGATTTAGGCACATCCCATTCTCTATAACGATTAACGACGGCACACTCGTTACTCGAAGATCGTAATCATGAGACAAGAGTGTGTACATCTATGCAACATTTACTAATTGCCCTTTCCATATAAACCTGGTCCGGGTTGTGCCCAAATCAGACCAGAAAACGGTTAAAAAAGAAGGGAAAAAAATTAGAATCTACCCAATCCCATACCCGTTTGATATATGTAACAGCTGAAGTTGCTGAATACGAATGACAAAACAATAAACTTTTCCGCTCAGCCACTTCAGCTGTTATCAAATGGCCCTGAAAAGATAGAGATTGCTTTGTAAAACAAAAGGCTGGTCACTCAGTCTCGGTGTTTTGGTCGAAAGTCCAAAACCAGAGGTCGGTCTGCTGATTAACGGACGTACGTGTTTGGAATATGTGATTCTTTTACAGGCAAAGGAGTAGTATTGATCTATTTACCGAAACAAGAGGCTGCGCCTTTGCAGTACATCAAATTAAACAAAGAATTAGAAACAGTTCATTAAAACTTCTCTCTTGGATGGCGATTTTCATTTAGATATCCAATAAGGGATCATGGGGATGAGGATAGGGAGTGAAGTCCCTGCCCCAACCCCAACCCTAATCGTAGTCGAACGTATGAACAGTCCGGGTAGCGTATGTAATGTTTTGCTATAAATAAGTAATATAAGTTTTCTAGGTTAAAAAAAAAAAGTCAACCCCAATCGTAACGTTTTAAATATTTTAAAATATTATTTGTAGATATTCTTAAATAGATTTATATTCATTTCAAATCAAATAGATACTAGGGGAGGGGTCTTACTTTGCAGGGGCTGGAATGGAACCATCAACCCATTGACCCATTGATTTGGTCATTGGCAAAAAACCGTTGAATCAGTCAATGATCCATTGACCCGAGTGATCGAATCATCGACCCGTTGATCTATAAAATGATTTTTGGCCGTTTTTTATTTTTTTAATTGGAAACCATCCAAGCAATAAGTTTCATTTTATCCTAATCTCGGTCCCTGGCCAAAAATCGTTGAATCGGTCAATGACCCATTAACCCGRGCAATCGAACCATTGACCAATTCAATGGTTTTTGGTCGTTTTTTTATTTTTTAATTTTGTTGTCAAAATGGGCCATTCGTTTGAACCAAACAATCGAACCGTCGACTCGAAAACCGATGGCCAAAATGGTTATGTTTTCAAGTCGTATCAGATGGTCGAACAGTCGACCCAAAAACCGATGGCCATAACGGTTCCATTTTCGGGTCATGTGAGTCATACGCTCGAATGACATAACATCATGGTTTTTAAAACCGACCTAGAGATCGAACCAATCAGGGATTTGGTTACTAGGTTGAATGATCTGACCGTTCGAATCAAACGATTGGCCCGTTTTGACAAAAAAAAAAATTAAAAGAAACGGTCAAAACCGTTCGAACGATTCAATATCTAATTATTAACAATATTTATAATAACTATTATATATTTATATAATTAGATAATTATATATATCTAATTATCTAACAATTTATATAATTAATAGGAAATGGGTTGCAGAGAGCACCCCAATCTTATATATAACTAGTCTTTTATATATATAAAAGATTAGTTAAGTGCGAAATCATATTATATTAATGATTTCTTTTCTTTCTTATGTAAATATTTTCCAAAACAAATTTTTAATTAAAAAAAAAACAAAGATTTCCCGATATAGAACCTATCACCAACAAGGATTGGGATTGGGAGTTCATTTTTCTCTCTAACAGGGATCGGGGTAAGAGGATAGGGAGTTACTTAAAAATCAGGGTCAGAGATGGGGGCTGGGGAGTATGATTCCCACCCCAAACCCAATTCATTCCCATTCTTCTTCTTCTTTTTTTTTTCTTTTCTCTCTCTCTCTCCATCGACCAGTTGAGCAAACAAAATAAGATATTGGTTATGTTCCATTAGCTAAGCAATATTTAGTATTTACTTTCTATTTTATTGTTTTATTTTCAAAGAAGTTATTAAAACAAAATGAGCCATTCGTTCAAACCAGATGGTCAGACTAGATGGAATCATCAACCCAGACAACAAATTTTGGCCATTCGTTCAAACAATCGAATCATCAATTCAGACAACAGTTTTTGGCCATTTTTTATTTTTTATTTATTTTTAAATCAGAATGAGCCGTTCATTCAAAGCAGATGATCAGACTATTTAACCCGGGAAATATTGGCCAAAATGGTTCCATGTCCGATCCAATTTGATCTAATTTTTAAAACCTTGGTTCAAATACCTGAGTCATATTTTGTTTGCATTTTGTTGTTTTATTTTAGGAATAAAGTTATGCTTTAAAATCTTCATTTTTGTAGTCAGAATTAATTAGTATAAAAGTTGCCATATGGATAGTGAGGTGGAAGAAATTAATCAGTTGAGTAGTTGCTCTGACTTTGTCCCTTCAAATCGGACTCTTTTCTTTATCAGTTATGATCGTTTGGGGTTGTAAAAATCTGCAGAGTTTTGTGGTCTAAAGGGGTTGAAGTTATTATGAAAACCCAAAGTATGGTATAATTATGTATTTGACCAAAATCCCACAAAGAAATTTACCTAAATAGTTACCAAGCAACCCAATCAACTTGAAGGAATTCTTTAAGATGTCAACTTTCTAGACCCAAAGAAGAAGCTCTTAATCAATATTATTTATAATATAATACTTTACATGCATCAATTATAAATTGTCATTAACAAGTAAACCATGCAACTTTTAAGTTGCAATTTTGTTCATTGTCAGAATTGCAATTGAAATTCCAAAATTTTGGAATTTAACGAAAAAGGTCATTCCTTAATCCCTACTAAACTCTCAGCTGGAAAAAACCCCTCCAATCTAC